TTTAGTATGCAATATTAAAAATCATTGAATATAGATCAATTAAATTCTATTATACAATATTGAAAATTTTTTGGATTCTTTTTGGAGAAATATAGACTTACAAGTATCTTAATTCCAACAGACCACCAATTTTTAGTACAAAAATCGCTCTAAAATTTTAAAAAATATTGCTGTTTACTATTTACATTATGCTGAAATAAATCTACTCCATTAACTTACAAAATATGCATAATGTTCATGAATATTAGTAATTTAATATATGTACATACATAGGTACGCTAAAAGAGAGAGAGAGAGAGAATGACAAATCAATCAACCTACTCGCATATAAGAACAAAACAAGAATTTTTTTTCACAATATTTAAAAATTTATTTAAGAAAAAAAAAAGAAAATTTTAATATTATAAAAGGTAAAAAAAAAAAACATTCTATAATTAATTGTCACAATTTATGTATATATAACACATACGTATGTACATTGTATAATTTATTGTCAGTGTTATTATTGTCAGGTATAATATTTTAGTACTTAATTCTATACTAAGTTTAAATTGTGATCGTATATAAAAACTTTTATTTTGTTATACGTTTCGTGAATTTAATCGTGTGCTATTTTGGATTTGGATTGTCTACAGTAACAATATTTTTGAAATCGAAAAAGAGAATGTAAAATAAAAAAAAAAAAATTTTTTTATCAGTGTCTAAAAAAAATTTTATGTATAATTAAAATTACATTGTTGTTGTTGTTGAAATTAAAGGATCTTCAAGCAAATTCTACTCTATCTATAAATAATGTTAATGTATGTATACGAAAAGAGAAAAAAAAAACTCTTACTTATATACAAAATTTTCTCCATTTAATAACAATAATTACAATATTGTAACTAACAAAAATGTGTGAAATTTACACATATACTTTAATTAATATACCAAATTTTGAGTGTTAAATGTGCAACGCTATTAAGTATGCAATATGTTTTAATAATTAATAATGCTTTTAATATATTTTTTTTTTTAATTTTATTTTAATATTAAAATTTATTATGTGTATAGGTATATAATTTTTTTTTTTAAATGTTTTAAATTTTATTGTTGTTGTTAATTGTTTTAAACTTATTTTATTTAAATTTGTGTTATTAAACTGATATACATATATATTTTATACACAATGTGTTTCTAGATTTACAACATATACATACACATATATACATTTACACTTGTTTTTTTTTTTTTGCAAATTTGGTGTTGGTGATTGGAAATTTTATTCTATTGTTAAGTAATTTATATTAAAATTTATATATGGTGTGTTATTGGTTTTTTTTTCACATTTTTAGAATTTTTGGGAAAATGAATTTTTTTTTGGGAATTTATTTATAAAATATGTTTTTTTTTATTACAAAATAATTTGGTATCCTGGTCACTCTTAAACAATATTTACAATTTGTTATACAATTTGGTCAAAATTTTATAATAACGGCGGGCTATGGTAGTTTTTAATATTTTTTGTTTAATTTTTTTTTTATTATACAAATAATAATTTCCACCATTTAACAATTTATATTTTACAATTCCAATTTGTTTTTATTTAACCAATGATATAACAGCTTGATAAAAAACCATATTAAAATTGTTATCGTATCTAAATATATGAAAATCGAAAAAAAAACTGTTCGAATAACAGAATAAAATAAAAACTCCCACTAAAATAATATTTCACTTAAACAAAACCCGAAATTACAAATTTAACCAAACAATAATTTTGTTAACAAAATTAAATTTGTAATAATTTCCTTATAATATTTATTATACATATACAAACCGTTGTACACATATATAAATCGAATATTAAAACAATTTATCCAATATGTTTTAATCAAAATTTTTAAATATCTACATATATACTTACTAGTTATTCTTATAAAATCAGCAATAAACTTTCTGAAAATTATACACTTTAATTAATATTGGTTACCATAATTAATATTGGTCATAACCAATGTTCTGCCTAATACAATATTATGTGCATACAAAATTGTATAACACTAAAAAATTCTTACATTTTCTTTAATATAACCTTGACATAAATATTTTTTAATAAGATTGGATCTTGAAATTAAAATTATTTACAATTCTATTTAAATTATTTACAATTTAGTATATTAGAAAAGTTTTAATTATGTATTAAGAAATTTTGCAAAAAAAAATGTTATTATCACTCATTGAATCACACAAGTCAACTTGACATTGACAATTTGGTTAATTTTCAGTGAAAATATTAAATAACATATTGTTGATGTTGAATACCTCCAGCGATGTTGAAAATATTTACAGTCACTAATTTGGTGGTGAATTAAATTTTAATAATTTATTCAAGATTATTCTTGTTTTTAATATTATTGATATTAAATGCATTTATTTATGCAAAAGATGCATATTTCAATTTAGTTTTAAAATCACATAATGCCTCCAAAATATTGTCCATACTATAGGCCGTCAAAAGAACCTCCAAAAACTTTTGTAATGTAATCAATCCCGTGCTTAAACCTTTTGCTTTTAATTTTTCTATTTTCTATACAGATTTGTATTTAAGTTATTTTTTGCTTATTGTACATGCATAACTAAATCTGAAAAAAAATGGATAAGGGAAATATAGAAAAAATAACTTATTTTCTCTTAATAAAATAAAAGAGTTTCAAAAAAAAAAACCGCTCTACTGTACATTTATTTTGAAACTACTACATTTTGTGTGTACGAGTATGCAACAAAACGTTCAAAATTAAAGTATGTGCTGCCAATATGAAAAAAAATCTTTAATTTACTTAATTAACATACTCCCCTAATTTTTTGAGTAAAAATTGGAATAATAACTATATTTTAATAACGTGTAGCTTAAGAATTTCCTTAAAAAATTAATAGCACATTGTTCCGCTTTGGGATGGCGTATGATATATGGATGTATAAAATTGGGTTGATACATACATATGTCTATTACTGGAGTGGAAATTCTTTATTTAACATATGACTACTTCAAACTGCAACCAAATGATTATATCAAGAGTAGGAAATGCATTTGACATAATGTATGACATCCTTATTATAAGTTGAATTTCCTTCAAAATTATTATGGTATCAATGAATTTTGTTAATATGAACTTTGTTAAAAAACACAAGTGGAAACACATTTTTTAAAAAAAATTATTTAGAACAATACGAGTCATTGATTCTTCCAAAAATTTTCTTCAGTACTTTAAAAAAAAATTTTTTAATATTAGATTACACTTGATTCTAAAATGTATAGTATATCAATTCTTATACTCTACTTAAAGAACTGAATTTTGACATAAAAATTTTAAATATATGGAATAAAAATGTCATATTGAAATTAACATCATAATCACATTTTGATATTTTTTTAAATAACCAATCAATTTTTATTTCTAGAAGAGAAATATATTTATAAATCTTGATAATTCACAAAAATATAAATTACAATATGAAAAAAAAAATTATTATTTTTCAATAATTTCAAGTATGATGTAGCTTATAAATTTCTAAATTTAAATTACACAAAAGAAAAACAGACAAACAAATTTTTTTTTTTATATTATAGTATTTTCCTGTCATAATTTATGACGGTTTTACACTATGCTCATCTAAAATAAAATTTCTTTAGCTTTTATTTTTTTTCTACAACTTAAGTGCTCTATTAAAGATGATTCATATATAAATATCGTCTGATTTAAATTATAAGCATCGAATCGAAATAAATCAAATTATCTAAATATCTAAATTAAAAAAAAAATCAATATAAAAAAAAAACAAGTTTGCGTCAAAAGAGTAATTCGTAAAAAACAAAGCATATTCTCTGTATAAATGATTTTAGAAAAGTCCCATGTCTTTCATGTCAATTATATTGTCAAAATTTAAAATTTTACACCTTTTCACGCGGTTTTAAAATACGATAATTACATACATTTAGGAACAAAGAATATAAACCTCTTCTCTTCGTCTTTATTCTCAATTTTAAAAGTTGTACAAATGAAAAATAAGAAGACCTAAAAATAATTGATTAAGTAATAATTTATCTAAACTACTTTATAGAATGTCAAAATCTAACTCAAGTATTTAAATGAAAAACAAAATTATCTCTTTATTTGAGCTAATACTCGAACTCGAAAAGCTGTCTAGAAAAGTGCACATTTATATGAAGTTGTATACGGTAATCAAATATATTAAAATTAGAAATTAGAATACGGTGGTTTTTGCAATTTCGTTGGTTTTAAAGATTTTAATACATAAAATCAATTTTCTTTTGACAATCGAATGCCACATAGCGCTTCTATTTTGGTTTAGTTGTGGTTGTGATACATATATTGTCCATTAAAAAATTTTTTACGCAGATGTGACTGTCATTTTCTGTCCATAAAATGAACTCTGCTGATATTTTTGTTTTTTGTCTTCTTAATGTCTTTTTGGGTGGATATTTGAATTAATTCAGAAAAAAGTTCTTACATATCTATATTTATATGTATGTATGTACGTTATTCTCTTGTGCCCTCCTACCAAATTTTTGTTATTTACTCTTTTTTTTTTTGTTTCTTTTAGGTTCTGTGTGCTTCTTTCAAAAATTTTTTTGATATGAAAGGTCTAAAATTAAAAATAAAAAAAAAATTAAAATTACTATTAAGATGATAGGGGAAAAAAATAACATCGCGCAAGATGACAATAAAAAAAAAAGTAGAAAAGACGCAGCAATCAATATGGTTTTTTATCTGCTATGTATCAATTATTATTTTTTTTTAATTTTTAATTTTTAATGATTTCTTTTGGTTTACTCTTCTTATTTGTATGTAGCTTGTTGTGTAGTATTTTAATTTTGATACAGATGAAATTAAAAAATTTCAATTTTTTTTTTTTTGAAAATCATCGTCGTCGTCGTTATTTTATTCCTTTTGTTGAAGCAATTTCGTGTGTTTTATTCTTTTTGTATTTTTTTACAGAGGAAAAACCATTTGAATGTTCATTTGGATGCGGGAAAGCGTTCAGTATGAAACGCTTACGTAAATGGCATGAACGTATTCATACAGGTAGGTTTTTAAATTATTTTTTTTTAAATACTTCACTTTATATACAAAATATGTATTACTTTTTATGTTCATAATTGTATTACTATAAAAATGTTATAAAAATTCTATCAATCAATAACTGAAATGAAATGGCATACTATTTTAAAAGAGCAAAAATACCTGTGCAAAATCTTATATTCATGTTACAATAATAAAATTGCTCCCATTCTCAAAATAATGATTATTTTTTCGTTATTTAATTAATTTCCAAATTATCAAATAATCTCAAATCTCATTTTAAATTTTCAATTCAATAATCCTCTTAAGGATCTCTTAAATCAGAAATTCAAATTTCAAACAATTATTTTAAAAAATAAAATTTGTACAAACATGCTGAAATGTCAAATTTTCAATTATTAAATTATTTACGTTCCATCCTTATTTGTTTAATGTACTATACAGTACTCCTGTCAATATATGAGTTTCGACTCATATTTTGAATTTTAGAGTGAAAAAATAAATTAATTTATTGTGAACTTGCCTGCATCATTAAAAAGCATATTTTTTTTTTAAATTTGCAAGTCATATTTACACTCTATTAAAAAAGTGATTTTAATTACAAAACCCAAACTTATTTTTGCAATTTAATAGAGTTGAATAAAAATCTATAATTTTTAATCTATAAATCAACATTTGAACTTCATATATTTTTCAACTATTAAAAAATAGAATTCCAATTTAAAATTTATATAAACTTGAACATTCATCATAATATAATTGTAAATATTAAAAAATTTCTTTGTTCTTATTTTTTAGGTGAAAAACCATTCCAATGTGATACATGTGGTAAAAATTTTGCAATGCAAAGTCGTTTAAATTTACATTATAGACAACGTCATATGGATAAAAATTTACGACCGCATGAATGTTTAATATGCTCAAAACGTTTTCTACATCCAACTGGCTTAAAAGATCATATGAATATGCATAATGGTGATAGACCATATCAATGTCCATTTGATAATTGTGATAAACGTTTTCCAAATCAAAATCGTTTATGGGAACATAAAAAACTTCATTCATCATATAAACGTTATACTTGTCAAATATGTAATAAATCTTTTATACAATATACAACATTTTTAACCCATAAGAAATATTGTAATAGTTTTATGCAATCTTCATCATCATCATCATTATGATCTTCAATGAATTTTAGGTTATTTTCATCAAGAAAATTTAGAAAATTAAAAAAAATTATTTAAATAAATTTAATTATATTAAAATAGATTAAGTATCAAATAATAGTAAAAATTATATTACATAATGTAATATAATAAAATTATTTTAAATAAAAATAAAATGGTTGTGTTTCTAAAAATAAAATAATTTTTTAAAAAAGAAAAACAGTATTCCTTTAATAATATCAAAGTTTAAAATTTAATTTAATAAAAATTAAAAATTTAGATAGTGTTATAGGAAAATATGAAAAAACAACATTTTTAAAAAAAAATATTTTAATATTTTATTTTGAAAATATTATAGAAAATTGTAAGCAGTTTTTTTTACAGAACAAATATTTATGCACATTCTTATAATGCGGATTTTTATTATGCTAACTTGAAAATTTTAAGCGATTTTCAAATATTTGAAAATTACTTTACAGCTCAGTTTAATTACTAACATAATTTGATTATAATATTGTAGCTTTATATAAATACTAAATTATATTTAAATTTTAAAATATAATTAGTAACTGCGTATGTAATTAATTTCTGGTTTTTTATATCATATACTAAATCTGCATTATAACAAAGTCAATGTAATCAATATACTCATAATAATTAATAGCTTTTATTAACAATATAATTATGATTTATCGTTCTGTAAATATTCTGCTCTTGTACATGACTAATTATAGCTTTTTTTTTGTTAATTTAATTTTGAATCCAAAATTTTACAATAAAAGGCTTTAAAAATATTTTCTTTTTGTTTTCTAACTAAGAGAAAACTAAACTTTATATAAATGTAATTTGTAATTAAATACATAATTGTAAAATAATTGTAAATTGAAATGATATTTGTAGTTGTAAAAATTAAAAAAACTTATAGGAGAATTCATTTTATAAGACTAATTTTTTTCTTATTATTACTTTATTAATATTTATAATAATTTATTATAAAAATTATTTATAAATATAAAACTAATAATATTTAAGAACGCAATATAGCCAATGAATTCTATTTAAAAAAAGAATATACTTTACATTTTAATTACTTACTATTTTTTTTTGTCGAAAATTATTAATTAAAATAAAATAATTATAATAAGATATTTGTATAAAATTTAACAAATTTAAATAATTGTAAATATCATAGATTAATTTTAAATATATTAAGTTAATTATATGAATTATTATTTAATTAATATTTATTTTGAAAAAAAAAGCTTGAAATTGCTTTATTAAATATTAAGGAAAAGTATTTTTTCTTTTGATATAGTCACATTAAAACAAATGAAAAACAATGAAAAATAAATAAAGAATTTTAAGGTTATGTAAATATTTAATAAAAAAATTACTATAAACGTTAACAAATAGAAAGAAAATCACTTTTCCTAAATATTCAACTTATTCAAATATAATATACTCATGATAATTTCGTTACTCAAAAAAATATGGTGCTCATAATTTTATCATATCGAATCCTACAAGCATTAATTTAAGAAAAAAACAAAATTCTACAAGAATGAATTCACATAATTACGAGTATATAGAAACATTTTTAACATTTTATCTAAAACCTTGTATGTATAAACTAAATTTTTTACATACATATATCTATTTACTACATAATTAATACAGCATGATTTCAAGCTCAGAATTATAATATTGTGAACTTTTTTTATAAATTATGTATATTTTACTAGCTTTTAATTAAATTGCTGCAATAAATATTGTATTTCTAATTGAATTTTTTTAAGTACAAAAATATTAGTGTATGTATAACCAGAAAAAATTAAAAAATTTCTGAAATTAGAATGTCCATAAAAGACTTGAGTTACAAATATTACATTCTAAGTTTTTTTTTTTTTTGGGAAACAATTTTAATTTTTTTTGTTTGAATTCTATGAGGCTAATATTTATATAATTTTGGTCTTTTATTCAAATCATATTACTCATATAATTCATATTACATAATTTGAAATTACAAACACAAATTGTATGATCAATGAATTTAAATTTTATGAACATACAAATTATTAAATTAAAATAAATTTCAATAGGTTTTCAGATTTATATTTGAATACCAATGAAATTACAATAAAAATACATAAAATTATATTTATTATATGGAAATTTATAAATGTTAATTGAAAAATAATTAAGAATTATTAAAAATTTGTAATAATCTGTATGGTAAAATGCAATTTTTTAATTGTTGTCAAATAAATTATAAAATAATTTACAAATTGGAATACAAAAATTTAAATATTAATTCGTAGGGAACAAATTTGAATATGTAATTTATGAACTATATGTGATTTTTGGCTTCAGTTTTCTAAAAATTTAATTTTTTATTTTAAAAGAAACTTAAAATACAAAAGTTTAGTGTAAAACAGGTAGCTGGTGTAATACAATTATTGGCCCTTTATTTTCGATTCAGTTGAAGTTTTTTTTTTCAGTTTTAAATCTGAAATATCTGAAATTTCCCATAATATTTTGAAAAATTATATTACAATAATAAATAGACATAATGATCTACACAACCCTATTAATACTCTTTTAAATAGATTTTAAAATTATTGAAAATATTGAACACTGATTGTGTATCTTGCTTTTTCGTCTCGCTTTGAATTCACTTTCAAACCAAAATTTTTACATTACATTTTTCCAGCAAGATTTGGATTTTCGCACTCTTTCTCAAAATATCAATTGGGGGCCCATACTACATGTAATTCGATTTTCATGAAACGATATTCGGATACCAATAAAATTTGTATGGTACAGTCATTCCATTTCTACAAATACGAAAATCATTTTACGAAAATCGAATTACTTAGTAAAATTTCCGAATTTACCACCTTCAAAAACAAAGTGAATAAATAATAATTAAATTTTGTATAAATTTTTGAAAAAGCGAGATACACAATACGAAAAAAATTCTTTTCACTCGAGAATTATATTATTCAAATATATGATAGTATCACTTACTTTCTTTTCACTTGGCAAATAAAATAATGAGATGCACGATAACACCCTAACTTTAAATGACCCCCAGTAAAAGCTCAAATTTAAAAAATTGATTATTATTATACTCTTAATAAATCTTTTAAGATGATAATTACCTTAAATTAATTTACACAAGTCTACTTTTGTAAACAATTATTAATTTAAATAATTTTTTATATATTTTGTAAAATACATTAAAAATTAATGAATGAGTATCGAAATATCAAATTAAAAAATAATTAGGTAAAAATCCTAATTTTCCTTTTTATTAATGAAAAGTTAAAATTTAAATTAAATTTATTATGTAAATTGTGAATTAATTAAATTTTTTTTAATTATTGATGTAAATATATATATATATATAGTATGTATAAATAAGAAAAAATTAAAACAATATATATATAAAAACTTATTTTTTATAAAAAAAAAAACGTGTTTGCTTTAATTTTCTTATATAATATTAGTTGTTTAAAGGTATATATTTATTTAATTAATTCAGGACAATTTTAAAAAAGTATTTTTTAATATTTTAATTTCAAAATTCGTTTAAAAAATAAAATAATTCATGAACTGAGAATTAATTTTATTCTGAATTCTCTAAGTTCCCTCCAATATTCTTTTAATTTATTATAGAAAATTTTGCACTTTTCGAATTTTTTACATAAATAAAGAAATTGAAAACTTCTCTAAACTAAATTCGCATTGTTTTTTTGAGTTTTTCAACTTGTAAATTAATTTAAATCTTTAAAAATTAATCACTTATAGTCGATTTTAAAAATTTCCGCCTGGAATTTTAAATATTCTAAATAAAAGTTTACAAAATTTCTCAATTCTTTTTGATGTTCTTAATTTTTATACACATATAAATAACATACTGGTATAATTGTTTTTCATCTAATGTCTAAATGAGTCAAAGTTTAGAGATTTTTTATTTCGTATCTTTAAAAAAAAATTAAAAAATGTTTATTAATTTAAGTATATATGTACGTATATTATATGAATAAATATCTGAAATATATATATGTAAGTAAATATATAAATTACTTATCTACACGTGTTATTTTGTCCTGCTGTTCCCATCTAAATTGGAAGGTAATAAAAAACGATTTTTTTTTTTTTATTATAGACATTAGTACATGTGTAATTTTGTATACATATAGTAAAAAGAAAATTCCAATCTTGTTGATATGAATACATAGTTACCCCTCCAAAATAAATATTTATTTAAAATTAAAGAACTATATTTGTACATACCATATGTATGTACATATTATTATGTAGGTATTTTTATCTTTTTGTTTACCAATTGACATTAGCATTAAACGCGAGTACAAATATATATTTTATAAATTTTTCTTTGCTCAACAATTTTAATAATAATATTATACACACCTGTATTATTATCAGATATTACAAGTTTCGTTCCAATATTTAGAATACATAATATATTGAGGGAGCAAATAAATTTTCTCACGCTGCGCTGAAAGTTCTACATTAGATCTAAAATTTCTAAGTCGCAGCTTTAAACAGTATGCAAAAACTTTGACACATTTACATAGGCACATTTGAATGTCATAACATAAAAGCTTCAATATATTCATTATTGCATAAAATTTTCTCCTTTACCACCATAATGTGATTTCTTAATTAAAGTTCGAACCTCTTTTGATATGAATTTGAACGACATAAAATTTTGAGGACATATTTTCAATATTTCAGGCTAGGATATCTATAGGAGAAACCAATGTTACTATCAGTTACAAGATCAGTAGTCTAAAACCAGGGAAAATAATTAAATATGCCAGTAATTATTAAATATATCAATTTCCATTTTACTTTATACAAGTATAACACCTAGATTCTGTTACGTATGCACATACCGAAATTAAAGAGCTTGTCGAGAAGAACTCATCTATAATGTTACTGAAATAATAGAATCGGTCATAAAAATCGATTTTATATTTTTGTAA